ATACTCAAAAATCTCTCAGCACCGAGGAAGGGGCTTGATTTCTTTTTATACCTTGATTAGGGTAGGGAAGGGGGAGCCTCGCTGAAGTGGAATTTTACAGAAGCAGAATAAGCAGGTTAGAGAGATGTGACTGCAGGTAGGCTGGGGTACTTCCATACAATAACCAAGCAGGGGTCCAAGGAGGAGTATTCACAATAGCAGATGTGCTTGCCAAGCAGGATGTGGTTATAATGGTTATATGGTAGAATAAGCACAGGGTCAGCATGACCCAGTTATGCACCCGAGAGAGACATGACAGGAGAAATGGTGGGGAGGGAGAGGCTAAGATGGAGTCTGTCTGGCTCACAGTTAAGATGGAGTCAGTTAGGCTAGCACAACTTGGGCTATCACACTATCTCTAAAAATAATAAATAAATATATACATACATAAAAGATGCTACATGTGAAAATGATTCTGGGTGAGACACATCTTGGGAATACTAAATTAAACACACTTAATCAAGCTTATTTCACGCAGAACTTCTCAGAGCCTCTAATCTATTAAAGGTCATTGTGAATTTCCACATGAAGCAATTATAGGAAGCATCTTTTTACAAACATTCTTGCCTATAGAATGCATATGGAGTAAAGCCTATGGGTCAAAGGGACATGTTTCAGGAAATGTTTCTTTAAAGTTAAATGGGTAAAGTCTTGTGACAAAAACTACAAATGTTCCTTAACTTACAAAGAGGTTATGACCCATCATAAGCTGAAAATATGGTAAATCAAACATGCATTTAATTCCCCTAACCTTCTGAACATCATAGTTTAGTCTAGTCTACCTTAAATGCGCTCAGAACACTTGTATTAGCCTATAATTGGGCAAAAGCATCTGGCAACACAGGACACTGTAGAATATATATCAGCTGTTACCCTCGTGATGGCATGGCTGATGGGGAGCTGCTGCAGCTGTGCTGCTCAGCATATAGAGAAAGTACTGGACTGTTTTTTTTCAGACAGGGTCTCACTCTGTCACCCAGGCTGGAGTGCAGTGGTATGATCACAGCTCACTGCAGCTTCGAACTCCTGGCCTCAATCCTCAGTTCCTATCTCAGCCTCCTGAGTAGCTGGGACTACAGGAACTTGCCACCATGCCTGACTAATTTTTAGAAAAATTTTGTATAGAGATGGGGTATCACTATGTTGACCAAGCTGGTCTCAACCTGGGCTAACGCCTGCCAAAGTGCTGGGATTACAGATGTGAGCCACCACACTCGGCCTTTAGACAGCTCTTTACTGAATGCATATTTCTTTGCCACCATTGTAAAGTTGAAGAATCGTAAATTGAAACTTCGTGAGTCAGAGACTGTCTGTATATCTATAAAATTAAGCCTGTGTGGTAGAGCTCTTTCTTGAGTTATGAGAATGAGAATACTATTTCTGGAGTTTATGGAAACAAATACACAGTAGTTTAAAACAATGGTAATTTCTTTCTCTCACGTGTCTTAATGATCCAAGTTTTTGATACAACTTACCTTTGCAGAAGTTGTGAACATAAAATTGTCAAAGAGATGGGCTGCCACTTTGTACAACTCCAGATTTAACCATGAATGTTGCCTCTTGGCAGCAAGAGCAAGAGCTGACCATGAAGAGCTATTGTTGATCCTACTGCAGGTTGGAAAGTTTGGTTTGTTTTCAAATGCTAAAGCTTGCTTTCTTTGTACATATTGTTACAGCTTTAAAATCAAGCCTTCGGTATAATATATTAGTATAGATCTTGTGAGAAACATCCTGCTTTGATGATCTCAATGTAATCCAAAATTACATTACAGTGAAATCCTGTAATTTCACTTTTCCAGGAAACTTGAGACAAGAATCAAGTATGTAAACCTTTGAGTGCTGTCATTTTTTGGGATGGAAAATAGGCCAAATGAAGTCTGCATTCTAAACCTCAACAGTGGAGCAATAATTTCTCCCGCAAATCCTGAATTGTTTTGGTTCTTTTTACCAGATGATAACTTGATTGCATTGCTAGGTTACCTCATTTAAAGAGCAAGGTGAAAATAGCAAATACGGGCAAAGAAGAAAGCCCTAGCCTGGAAGAGAAAGGCCAGGATACACATGAAATCAAAGGCAAGCATCCACTGAAGGTGCTGTCAGTCTTACTCCTAGTGGGTGGAAGGGTGGGGTGAGAGGAAGAAGGCTAGCCACCCAGCATAATTTAGGTAGTTATGGGAATGTTCTGCAGATATTTTTAAAGGGAAAATAAATACTTTCCCTTTAAAATACTTTAAAGGGAAAGTAATCGTAATCAAATGCTGCTCCAATTTTTATTTTTTCACATTAGCTATTTAGGCTGATGGTACTCAATCTTAATACAAATTGCATTCTTAGTTGAGTACTGAAAGTGAGTGAATTATGTGTTTGAACATTTAACTAAAGCATAAATACTTGAAAATGTCTTTACCAGGCACTGGGCCAGTAGGCCTTGGGAAGTCCAGAGTAAACAAGACTCATGGAACTTTCATTCTAGTAGAGGCTGTGAGGTAAGCCATACAAAGAAAACAGAGTGCTATGACAGATCATCATAGTACTTTCAGATGGAATGGTCCTGGAAGGCCTCTTAGGAAGGGAACTTGCAAGATGAGAATGGACGGATGAGTGAGAAATTAAAAGACCTAGGAAGTACGGGATATAAAACAAGGTGGTAAAGGAAATAGCAAGTGCAAAGACCCAAATTATAAAAGAGCTTCACATGCTGTATGAACAGAAAGAAGTCCTGTGTTGTTGAAAGAATAAAGAGCAATAAAGAGAGTTCCAGAAGACGACATTACCAGGGCAGGTAGAAGCCTGATCATGTAAGACAGTTGAGGACATAGTCAAGGTTTTATTTTGGAGTGATAGATTTCAGACCTCTGAGTTCCAGAACTTTAGGAGATAAATGTGTGTTATTTTAAGTCACCAAGTTTGTGGTGTTTTTAACAGCAGCCACAGGAAATTAATACACATGTGAAGGAAACGATGTCCCCTGTTGGAGTCTCCCTGCACTCCTACCCATCTGAGAGAAACAGAACTGTTGAGTAGTTGATTCAGTTTAATCCTTCAGATGTGTTACAAATATTAAATGTCGATTTATGGTGAGATTTGGCTTGTAGTCTCATCAGTAACACATTTAATTATAAGCCATCTCTTCATTCACTCATTGATTCATCAAGTGCTATTCAGTACTTATTAAGTGCCAGGCATTGTGCTAGAACTTGAGACACAGAGATAAGATAAACGTCCCATTCTCTAAGAATCTCATTTTTTTTGGTGGATTAAAAGCTGCTAATGTATTCCTTCTGTAGATATATAATCTCATCTATTTCTTGTGACTTTGTGAACCTCATTTTTGCAAGATAACATTTCCTAATTCTTGTCAAATTTAGGGATGGTGATATTGGGGAGCTACAAACTAGTCAAATCAATTCAATGAAAAATCCTATTAGTTGAACAATTTTAGTCACATCTGATTTTGACTATTTTATCTAAGTATTAACATTTCACTAGTTGAGTGTTACAATAAGCCTAGCATTTAAAGTCTTGGTGATGTTAACATTCTTAAAAACAGAAAAGTGACCATGGCCATCTATGCACAGAGTTGACACAGAAGAGATGTATATGCTGTACGGTCCTGTCCAAATCCATTTTATTTTATAACTGCGATTCACATTGTCATTGATTGCAGTTTATTTTTCTCTAATTTTCTAAAGTCCACAATCAGGACTATTCAAGGAATCATTGTTATAAGCATGCCATCTACTCTAGCTTCATACATAATTCATTGCACATTTAAATGGTAGTCTTCTGGTTGCAGGGCTACAGGGATTTAGGAGTTTTTCATCATCACTTTGATAGTAAGAAACCATGTTTGGTGGGCTTCTCTTCTTAGTTTTATGTTGCTATGGTATAAATCAGTCCCACGGTTTGAAAGTTAACATAAACTATAGACTGGCATAAACCAGAAAAAACTGATGGAGGATTTATTTTCTGTGCCACCTAGGACAAATCACTCTTTTCCCTTGGCCTCAGTCTCTTCGTAAATGTTCATTAAACATTTTTAGTTTTAGTTTTCCCAGGTCTAAAATTCAATGATTTTTTTGAGAATCGCTGGCAAAATGTGATTCCAAAAAGTCAAAATTCCTATGCTTAGTAAGAAATCAGATCCACTTTTATGAAAGCCCTCAGAGGAATTATTTTGGATGAATTACTTTAAATAGTAGTTCATCAAGTAGATTCCAGCCATAACTATTCATTCAGCAAATATTGTCCTTGCTCTTACAGAGCTGTATTACTCCATTCCCAGGCTGCTATGAAGAAATACCTGAGACTGGGTAACTTATTTTTAAAAAGGAGGTTTAATTGACTCACAGTTCCACATGGCTAGGGAGGCCCCAGGAGACTTAACAATCATGGTGGAAGGCATATCTTCATAGGGCAGCAGGAGAGAGAATGAGTGCAAGCAGGGGAAATGTCAGACACTTATAAAACCTGGGCACAGTGACTCATACCTGTAATCCCAGCGCTTTGGGTAGGCACCTGAGGTTGGAAGTTTGAGACCAGCCTAACAAACGTGGAGAAAACCCCTCTCTACTAAAACTAAAAAATAGCCAGGCTTGGTGGTGCATGCCTGTAATCTCAGCTACTCTGGAGGCTGAGGCAGGAAAATCGCTTGAACCTGGGAGGCAGAGGTTTCAGTGAGCTAACACCGTGCCATAGCCACAAGAGTGAAACACCATCTCAAAAAACAAGACAAAACAAAACCCATCAGATCTCGTGAGACTCACTCATTATTGTGAGAACAGCATAGGGGAAACCACCTCCATTATTCAATTACCTCCACCTGGTCCCTCCCTGGACAAGTGGGGATTATTACAATTCAAGGTGAGATTTGGGTGGGGGCAGACAGCCAAACCATATTAAGAACTAATTGTTTAATGGAGAGATATCTGTTAAATATAGACACACGTAAAACCCACAACTACTTTTGTGCAACAACTTCTTTATTTCAATTCTATTTTTACACAAAGGCAAAAAGAATAGAGGGGGGAGGCAGGAATAATGCTGGGTCACCCCCTGCAAGTGGGGAAGAGCCTGCAGCCAACAGGAATGAGTAAGACTGCTCTTCTCTGGCTTTCTTGGTAACAGCAATGAACAAAAAGAAGACCAGGCATGGGCGCAAGGCTTAAGTTAACAAGGTCAGTCTGTTCAGGCCAGGCAATGGAAAGGAAGTGTCAGATCTGTCCAATCCATGTTCATGAAGAGGAAATAAGGCCTAGGTACGTCTATTGAGGGATTGGCTCTGGTGGGCTGGGGTCCTTCTCTTTGAAGGTCTAGGTCGCTGTCCCCAGGGCACATAGGGGCCACGGGGATGATACCTGGAAAAACCCCTATGGACCACAGGGGCAGGCTGCTGATAACAGGGTGTGGGGAAGCAGGGCACAGGTAGCTGGGGACCAACCATAAAATTGTCTTCGAAGGGGAAACCTGTATGGGTTGATGAGGGGACATCCGAATCGCAATAGAATTGATCCGACTGGAAAGTATGATCTGAGGAAAAACAGACATCTGGGGGACCCAGTGGGAACTGGGGCATTCCCTGGTAAAAAGGAATGGGAGGAGGGGGAGGAGCTAAAGGAGGAGGGTGTGAGGGCAGCAGCGGGGGCAGGGGCAAGCACTGGGGTGGTAACCCAAGCAGGGAGGGGCGTCTAGGGGAAGGCAAAGGTGGCCTAGGGAAGGCCAGGTGATTTCTGTTGGTCTGGGGCGGCCCTTTCACTGTCTGGCCAGGTTTTTTCTTCTTAATCCACTTGCTCACCGGGCGGCGCTGGGGCAGCTCCACACCCCAGGCATCGGCCACGTGGGCCAGCAGCAGTTGTGAGAGGCAGCGGTGTACGCGCCCGTTCCAGTGCACCCCGTCCCAGTGCAGGTTCTCCCTCGCGTGGCGGAAGTAGAAATGCAAGTCCAATACATCGAAGTTATGTTTTCGTGCCTCGGTGGCACTGTAGAAGTTGGCTTCGACCACTGTGCTTTTCAGGGAGTCAGTCCGCTGCCGCTGGGGCGGAAGGAAACGCCCAGTGACTACCTCGCCCACGGGCATGGCTGTGTTCCACACCAGGAGGCAAGATTCGGGCAGCACCTGGCCCAGGCGCTGGAACAGGTTCTCCAGGTTCTCCTGGTAGCTCCACCAGAAGTCCGAACCATATCTGGAGACGTCCCAGAGGCAGGAGTTCATGATGACCAGGTCGGGGGCGTGCTCGCCCGACTGCAGCTCTTCCAAGATGGTCTGCAAGTACTCGGAGTACACGCGGGTGAGGAAGTAAAAACGCACCAGATGGTGGTCAGAGCGGAACTCGCGGACCTCACGGTAGTCAAGGCCATTGTGCATGGGGCCCCGCTGGCCTCCATCCAGCAGCTCATCTCGTTCGAAGTTCAGCTCCCCCTTTACTTTGAGCTGCTTGGGAGTGAGCAGGCAGTCCTTCTGTAGCAGAAGCACCAGGTCCTTGTACACGGCCCTATGCACGGAGTCCCCCAGGATGACCACGAACTTATTGTGAAGCAGCTGCCGCACTTCAGAGGCTCGCAGGAGGATCATGACGCCCAGGGCGAATGGCCTAGCTCCTTCCTTTGCACAGGGTAGGTCTGCGGATGGCTAGGACAGAAGGAGAGACAGGCTGGGAGGGACTCACCTCTGGGAGGAGCGCCCAGTGTAGGTGGGGGGTAGAGAGAGCATGGGGGAAGGGGATGGAGCCACGGCCTCTGCCCCGAGGGAGTGGACCTGGAGTGCCCGCATAGCAGGCGCCACCAAGCCCGGACCTGGGGGATGGGCGAAAGGGCAAGAAAGTATCCAAAAGCCTTCTTTGTCTAGCTTCAGTTTAGGCCTGGGACTTGACCTCTGAACGCCAGAGGCTGCTCTTGGAGGCTCAGGTTCCACCTGGTGGGGAGGAGCTAAGTCAGATCCACCCTCCCCAGGGCTGGGAGTGCTAGCAGGATGCCTAGCCAAGAGCCTGGAGGCAGCCCAGAAGCATAAGTGGTTATGGTTAGCACAATGCCACTGTTAGATAATGAGGACAGCAAGTAAGCAAGAACAGGAGAAAGCTTGTGTTGTAATGTTAAGTGGAAGAAGTTACATCCCATACTGAATGCCCGATCACTGAAACTGTGTAAAAGAGATATGCATAGATAACACTGGAAGGAAATATGTAAAAACATTTTCATAGAATAGGATTATGGATGACTTCCCTCCCCTTTTATTTTTGTAAATATTTGTTGTAGTCTTATATTGCTTGTTATAACTCTAAAAGAATTAAATGAAATGCAACAGGTAACACAAAGGAAGAGTACATGTGCTAGGTTAAAAACATAAAAACAGGCCAGGCGTGGTGGCTCATGCCTGTAATTCCAGCACTTTGGGATCCCAAGGGGGGCAGATCATTTGAGTTCAGGAGTTGGAGACCAGCCTGACCACCATGGAGAAACCCTGTCTCTCCTAAAAATACAAAATTAGCTTGGCATGGTGGTGCATGCCTGCAATCCCAGCTGAGACTGACGCAAGAGAATCGCTTGAACCCGGGAGGCAGAGGTTGTGTTGAGCCGAGATCCCACCATTGTACTCCAGCCTGGGCAATAAGAGCAAAACTGTCTCAAAAAAAAAAAAAAAGAAAAAGGAAAAAATAAAAACAGATTTCTTTTACAAGGAAGTAGCTGTTTCTCATCAATAGGACTAAAAAAGATCAAGATAAAACTGGAAATAATTTGAATACGTTTTGGCTGTGATGTTCTTTGCTTTACATTTGAAGATAATAGGAATATCCCACTACAAAATGTCCACTTTAACATGAGGATTGTTTTGAGCAGAAAGCAACTGAAAATCGACCGATGCAGGAAGAGTTATCTGTCCTCCTTTTATCTGCCCTAGAATCAGGGCACATATTTCCCTTTGAGGAAGGTAAACACCCTTCCCCCAACCAGGGAAAGAACAGCAACTCTTAGCAGACAGGTTATCATCTTTTTCACCAAAGAAAGGTAGTGGAGGACACCAAGTTGATTTTTCATAAACAGACCTTACTACAATAGCCCTTATCTTCCATGAGCTCCCCCAATTTATTTCCTAGTCACTTCCTCACATCATTCCTTAAAGCCCAACACCCCTTGAGTTTCAGTTTTCTGGTGCACTCCCTGACTACAAATGTTAATTTAAAAATTGTGGCGGGTGTGGTGGCTCACGCCTGTAAACCCAGACTTTGGAAGGCTGAGGTGGGCAGGATCACTTGAGCTCAAGAGTTCAAGACCAGCCTGGGCAACAGGTGAAGCCCCATCTCTATACAAAAATTAACCAGGTATGGTGGTATCTGGCTAAGGTGGAAGGATGGCTTGGGCCTGGGAGGTTAAGGCTACAGTGAGCCATGTTCTGGCCACTTCACTCCCACCTGGGCCACAAAGTGAGACCCTGTCTCAAATAAATAAATGAACAAATAAAATTTCTAGGTCTCTATCTTAGCAACGCACACAAAATAAATAAATGAAATTATGTGCCTTTTTTCCTGTTAATCTGTCTTTTGTTAGTTTAATTTGTACACCCCCAGGTACTGAAACTAAAAGAGTAGAGAAAAAGTTTTTCTCTCCAACGCATTGGATGCAATGTTAAAAGCTGTGAAACTCGTCTTCAAAACTTCAGATTATTTCAAGCTGCCATTTACAACTCATATGCACAGATGACTAAGCAGTAGAAACACTAAAATACTGCTAACAGATTGCAAATGGGAGGAACATGGCATCCACCTCATCTACTTACACAAAAGCCATGAAAATCTGGTGTGACATGATATTTGTAAGATTTTATGCATTAGTAAACATTTTAATAGGTGTGGGTGGATAGCTATTATTAAATTACACATTCAAGTTTTGAAAGCTATGTGTGCTATTTATAGTTTTAAATGGGTATAAATACAAAAATGAAAATATTAAAATAGACTATTAAGTTTCATAAGAGAACAGTTGAAAATATTGACGTCTTCCCCATAAAGAATCTTCATTAAAACATTTTTGCTATCAGAATAAAAGTTTTGGCTGGGTGCAGTAGCTCATGTTTGTAATCCCAGCACTTGGGGAGACTGAGGCAGGAGGATTGCTTGAGACCTGGAATTTGAAACCAGCCTGAGCAACTTAGCAAGACCTTCATTTCCAAAAAAAGAAACAAACAGAGAAAAACAAAACAAAATTGAGGCAAACTCCAAATCCCTTTGGGACTCAAGTATGTTCATTTGTTTAGATTCATTTATTCCTCCAACTCATGCTTAATAAATGCCTAGTATATGCTCCACATAGGGAGTATAAAAAAAGGTAAAACATAATCCTGCCCTCAAAAAACAGATCAAGAATACTAATTGCTAACTGTACTTACTGTCAAGTAGAAAGTAGAAAGTGGTAAAGGCCATGAACTGTGAAAGTCCAGGGGTCTTTGGGAACAGTATTCCTTCCCACTCTAGACCCAAGTCTCCAAAGTGCAAAATGTGAAGACAGAAACTCCTTCCTATTGTGTTTCCAGAGCTCCCATGCCACCCAGCTCAATGTGCCTTCTCTGGGCCAGCACTCTGGCCATAATCTGTGCCCCAATACATCGTCTTCCACTAACACAGTTCTGTCCCAGAAGCTGGCAGATCTGTGCTGTCTCTGCTACAGTGTTACTTTGTTTAAATGCCCTAATGCATTCCTCTGGGAGTGAAGTGCCCTAGACTTGGACAGATACGCGTTCAAGTCCAGTACCTTAAAACTGTCAGAAATGGAGGCACTTAAGAATTAAAGGAAACTAAAGTATGTCACCCCAGAGTATGTCTCTCTGATATAAATATTTTTGGGCAAAGTTGCTTGAGAAGCAGAGGTGGCAGAAAGGGTCTCCAGAACTGCCCTTTCTTACCAAGCCATAAAAATTCCTGTGGAAAAGCGGCCTTCTCTGCACAAACATGAGAAGATAACCTTGTTTCTAGTGATTTGAGAAGTTAGGCTGCAGTGGAGCTGTATAAATAAACTTAACGAAAAAACCCTTATCTTCCACTAGCTTTACACTCTTCCATTTATCTCCTAGCCACACCCTGGAATTTACTACCCCTGGCTTATACCCCTTTGTTCTGTCATTTCTTCACAAAATGTGTGGTTCTTTGTCTAAAAGGTATAAAAGTTTTCTGCTTTGGCCATTTCTTGGGGTCTTCACTCTCTTATGAGGGTCCCCATGTACATGTAAAAATTAATAAGACATACATGCTTTTCTTCTGTTAATCTGTCTTGCATTAAGTTGTTCCAAACCCACCCCAAGATCCCACTTAAGAACTAAGATGAGCAGAGGTTATGCATAACATTCCCTACAGAGTACTAGCGAAGAGCATTGCTTTTGGAATCATACTATGTGGGTTTGAATCTTATATTTGCTAGCGTTTTGAACTTGGGCAACTTAGCCTTTCTATGCCTTAATTTTCCAGATCTGTAAAACAGACCTATTAGTACACTTTATGTATCTGATGTGAGGATTAAACGTAAACTGTTTACAACAATGTCTAACAAGTAGCAAGTGCTGATAAGAGTTAGTTATTATTAAAGGTTGAGCATCCCTAATTAAAAAATCCCAAACACAAAACTTTTTGAGAGCCAACATGATACTCCAAGTTACACTGAACACATTACTTTTTCACTGTATTAATGGCATACTGGCCGGGAGAGGTGGCCAGCCTGTAATCCCAGCACTTTGGGAGGCTGAGGCAGGTGGATCACTTGAGACCAGGAGTTCAAGACCAGCCAGACCAACATGGTGAAATCCTGTCTCTACTAAAAATACAAAAATTAGCCGGGTGTGGTGGCTCACACCTGTAATCCCAGCTACTCAGAGGCTGAGGCAGAAGGATCCCTTCAACCTGAGAAGTTGCAGTGAGCTGAGATCGCATCACTGCACTCCAGCCTGGGTGATAGAGTGAGGCGGTGTCTCAACAACAACAACAAAAAACACAGAAAAGTATGTCTGATTTTCCACTATTAAGTACTTACATGTGCATAAGTGTGCGAAAATGATTACTTGTCAATTGCATCTAAACATATAAACTGAGTCACAAATGATAGTGATGTCAAACAACTGTAGTCCATATGAGTGGTTAAGACTGTGACATCTTTGCTTTCTGATGGTTCAGTGCGCACAAACTTTGTTTCATGCACAACATTTAAAGTATTGTATCAAATTACCTTCAGGCTATGTGTATGTGGTGTATATTCACATAAGTGAATTTTGTGTTTCGACTTGGGCCCCATCCTTGCCTACATAAGGACATCCCCATGTATATGCAAACATTCTGAAGTCACCAAAAATTGGAACTTTGAAACATTTTTGTTTTCTTTTCTTTTTTTTTGAGATGGAGTTTCACTCTTGGTGCCCAGGCTGCAGTACAGTAGCACAATCTCGGCTCACTGCAACCTCTGTCTCTCGGGTTCAAGTGATTCTCCTATCTCAGCCTCCTGAGTAGCTGGGACTACAGGCATGTAACCACCATGCCCAGCTAATTTTTTATATTTTTAGTAGAGATGGGGTTTCACCATGTTGGTCAGGCTGGTCTCAAACTCCTGACCTCAGGTGATCTACCTGCCTCGGCCTCCCACAGTCCTAGGATGACA